GTGCATTCCAGTGCAAACATACATAGTGTACAGAAGGACCAGAGTTAGTCTGAATTGAGAAGCCTTTTGGCCTGGGGGAAAAAACTCTTCCTGAGTCTCAAGGTCCTGGACATCAGGCAACGGAACCGTCTGCCTGAGTTCAGCCTGTAGAACAGGCAGTTTGCGGGGTGTAAGGAGTCCTTAATTATCTTGGTACCTCTGGACCTGCAGCATTTATTGTAGGTGTCCAGCAGGGAGGGCAGAGGAGATCTGACACAACGCTTGGCTGCCCTGATCACCCTCTGCAGGTCTTTGCGGTCCTTTAGAGAACAGTTCCCAAACCATACTGTGATGTTCATGGTCAGGATGCTCTCCACAACAGCTGAGTAGAAGGTTTTTAGGATCGCTGGAGTGACCCTAAATCTCCTCAGCTGCCTCAGGTGGTATAACCACTTCCTCGCTCAGGTGACCAGAGTGCTGACATGCGAGTGCCAAGTGAGGTCCTCTGAGAAGAACCCCAAGATATTTGATGTTGTCAACCCTCTCCACTGGAACACTGTTGATCTGGAGGGGTGAGAAGGAGCGCTGCTTCTTCTTGCTGTAGTCCACTATCAGCTCTTTAGTTTTGCTGACATTCAGACTGAGGCAGTTGGACCTACACCATACCGACAGGTTCTCCACCTCCCTCAAGTAGGCTGACTCATCATTGCTGGTGATGAGTCCAATTACCACTGTGTCATCCGTGAACTTCACAATTGTGTTGGAGCTGTTGGAGGCAACACAGTCGAAGGTGTAGAGCCTATAGAGCAGGGGGCTCAGAACCTCCGACTGTGTTGCCTGCAGATAAGCATGTTTTAAATTGGAACAAGGGTGGTGAGTGGATTGATTTAGTGCTGAGGTAGATCTGGGTGTCATCAGCATAACAATGAAATTGAGGTTACATTGTCCAAAAATGCAGGAAATGGGGAGGATGTGTAGCATGAAGAGCAATGGCCTGAAAACCAAACCTTAGGGGACTGTAGAGTGACTGAGTGACTGCAGAGGAGGAAGGGGAATAACCAGAGAAAAAAACTCTTTCCTGTCCATCAGGTATGATGAGAATCAGTCTGTTGTGGTACCTTCAATGCCCAAGTCAGAGTCTCGAGGGGAGGATACTGTGGGCCATTGTGTTAAAGGCTGCATTGATGTCGGGAGGATCAGGATGCTGAGGGCCCCGTAGGGCCCCGTAGTCAGCAGATGTTAGAAGATCACTGAGGACTTTTTAAGGTGGTACAGTTCTGTGGAGAGGGTGAAGTGGAGCAAACAAATTTTAAGTTGCCAATAGGCTAGGAGCTGACTAGCACATAATGGCAAATGTCAGAATTTTGGAGAGAAAAGAAAAGTTAGAAATAGGCTGGTAATTGTTGAAGCTAGCTGGATTGAGACCGGGTTTTTTTTAGAATTGGTGTTGCAGCAGAAGTCTTGTAAATAGAGGGTATCAATTCAAGAGATAGAGACTGAAAAGATTGAAAAGCTAAGAACAGATAGGGAGACCTTAGATGAGTTAGATGGGAGGCGATCCAAGGCATGTGGTGATCTTGGACGCACCGAATATATATCAGAGGAGTTAAGAGACGTGAAGGCAGAGACCCAACTGTGGGGGGGGGGGGGGTATAGCAGACAGGCAGTGAGATCATAGGTGGAGGGATGACAGGAAAGGATGGTAACCAAAAAGATGTGAACGGGGGAAATTCTAGCCTGAAAAGAGCTAAGAAAGTAATTGTATAGATTGACCGGGGGAAGGTAGGTATTATCTGGAGGTTTTAGTAGTTTTTTTAACATTAGAAAAAAAAGAATTCAAGGCTTTGTGTCGGTGCCATTGAAAGGCGTGGAGTAATATCAGTTCAAGCAGTGCCGAGGTTGTCTCTATAATGGGAGAGATCATTATAAGTCACGAGACAGGTTGTTCAACATGGATACTGAAGACACCACATAGTAGTAAGCAGGGGCGTCGTAGTGGGCAGAAAAAGGGACTGATCGAGTTATCAGGGCCCCATGTGGGGGGAGGGCCCCTAAGGAATCTGGAATTTTATTTTCCTTTAAACATTAATATTATTCAAAGATCACAATAAATGTTGCTAACTAATGTAAATGTAATTTTTGTGGGAAAATAAATCGGTTGACGGATTGAATTGTGTCCTAGCTTACAGTGCCTGAGGACCAGCACCCTCACCCCTTGCAATGGTTTAATCTTCACCGGGGTTTTAACTAGGCGCATTTAATTTAGCTGTTATGCGGCCAGGTGTGAATGGCTCATGCTTGCACATGAGAGCTCCTAAATATTCAATGGAAGGAGACCAGAAATAGTGACCCGAGTTTGCTTTTTCTTATTTATTTATCCAACTGAATGTTGCAACTACACCATTTATTCATTTTCATGTAGCCAAGACTTTGGTGATCAGATATCTGGGATCAAAACTGCCGCCATTGCTTACTATGTACTTTTATAATGTTCCTGTAAGTGTTCCAAACTGCATTTTGCAGTGTCTATACTTTGATGTCAAATTACAAACTTAACATAAATCTTACATATTTACAATATACATTAAAATAAAGATGAATGTAAAGACAAAACAAATATATAGGAAATAATTTATTTGCCATGAATTAAGTTTATGATATTTGAAGAAAAGTGTGATCATGCCCAGGGGCGGATTAAGGTGTACAGAGGCCCCTAGGCTACAGTAGTCTGTGGGCCCCCCAACCCCGCCCCCCTCCGCACCAATGGGGGCCCCCTTGCAGGCTGGCACACGTGGGGCCCCTAGGCTTAAGCCATATCTATCCTGTGCGTTAATCCGCCCCTGATCATGCCCCAGTCAATGAATGTGTGTTTCCTACCCCTAGGCTCAATAAATAGGCTACTTGATAAAAAGCTGTTCTCTTCAGCCAAATGCAAAAGTGTTCAATTTTCATGCAGGCCTATGATGTTAGGCTACCTAACATCATAGGCCAAATTCCAGTGAAGTCTTGTGTGATTAGGCTGTTTGTGCATAGGGCCCAGAATTTGGTGCTACGCCCCTGGTAGTAAGTGTGAGGAAAAAGGGGCAATAAGAGTAAGTAGCTCAGATGGTTCATTTAGGAAGAGAGAATTGAATTGCAGTGGCATATTTTAAAAGATAAATTTCATTTTACTTTAGGATTGATGTGATATGTCAGTCAACCTATTCCCAGCAGTCAGATGTTTCATGAAATAAGCTGTTCGACAAATGTGGGAATTGCTCCTCAGAAAACCTTGCAATTCAGGAATCATGGTTGTTTTTCATCTGTGCCTTGTCTGATTTTATACCAAATCCAATTTCACTATGACAAATACACAGTGAAAATATGGTGTATGAGTGAGATGTTTTACATTCAGGAAGTGGTCACAATAGCCTTCTGCTTTTTTGTGACATTTTTTTTTTTCCCCACAGAGTTCACATTATGATCAAAAATATTCTTATCTCATTCAAAAACAATTTCTTTTAAGGTAAATCAGCCCACTTCCCCTCCTCATTTCTGCACACATGTCCTTGCATGCAAACAAAGCCTCTGGATTTTAACGGTTAAACATTACAGATGTACCATGTATCTTTGTGAAATATGCTTTAAGTATACAACATGAACTTTTATAAATTTGTCATACAAATTTAAAATTTAACACTCTGAACAAAACAGATTTACCAGCAGGTAAAAGGTATATACACTCAGTGACAAAAAAAGTGAAGGACCCAGACAGAGTGGTGGAAATGAATCTGCACCTGGTGAAAGGGCACACTGCTGGTCCCGGGTCAGTAGGGTGTGGAACCCCCCACACACACACATACACACACGTTGTCTTGGTGAAAAACTGTACCAGGGTGCCGTCTCAGGAGGGGTAAGACATGCAGACGCAGGATGTCACTGACATAGCACTGTGCCGTCAAGGTCCCCAGAATCACTACCAGAGATGATCTGAAGTGAACTGGACTGTGAACCCATAGTCCGGCTGATGCCAGTCGACAAGTCGGTGCGGGATGACAGGGGGTGATGTAGAGAGTCCAATACCTGTGTCCAGATGGCAGGCGCAGATGTCATGGGGTTCTGTAATGCTTGAAACACAATACAACGATCCTCCCTTGGTGTGGTCTGTCTTGGGTGACCGGAACCTTCACAACGTGTGTGGGTGCTCTCACATGCCCATTGGTTCCAACATCGGGCGACTGTAACATCTGCATGCCCCACATGTCGGGCAATTGCACAATACAACCACCCAACCTCATGAAAACCCACAATGTGACCCCTATCAAACTCTGTGCTGGTAATGCTGTCTAATGCACCCAGGAGGCATCTTCTGTGTCCGCTGACTATACATGCCAGCTCCTTGCAAATCGAATCATTTACATAACCATCACTGGTCTGCACGTGCGCCAAATTACATCCAAATCGGACCATTACTTCTGGGTGCTTTACTTTTTTGTCACGGCACTCATATAAATCAATAACCTCCTGATCCTCCCGGCAAATGGGCCCATCGACCCTCTGTGGGCCCCCATTTCTGTCAGAGAAATCAGCTGTGATCCCTCTTACTCAATCTTCTATTACTTAAACTTATCACTTAAATGCATTCAATTTTAGGTGCTTCTTCATTCACTTTAGCAGCAAAATTTGATGTAATTTAAAGACATTAATCAATGAAGTGATTAATTTATTCATCCAAGAATAATAGAATAAATTATATTCCTGTAGCAGCTCTGAAATTTGAAAGCTGAAAAAGTTAATGGGTGCTTTTTTTAGAATAAGTTACCAAAATAAATGAAAGACTTTTTTCCTGTACTGTAAGCCTATGCTTCTTTACGAATTGTACATAATATTATACTAAATGTATGACACGTAACATGCAGATGAATGTTGATGAATAGATTATAGCTGTTTACTTTATAAATACAGCTTCTCTGTGTCCTTTATCATTGTAAAATATAGTCAGCAAGAAATAGCTGGAAATTAAAACGTAGAAATGGTACTTCAGAAAGTAAGCGCTAGAGAGCAGCATTTTTCAAAAAAGGAGGAAGTGATCGCTGGTTGAAAACAGAATGGAAAGAGAAAGTAAAGCTTGTTGCTGGTAGTTACAATTTCGTTGTGAGAAATATTTCAGAAAAACGGTTAACTGTCTTCAGTGTCGCGTGATTTTGCCAAAAAAAAAAAAATTCCTGTTCGGCTTGCTGGGAAGGCAAGCCAGTTGTAGGAGCCCTTCCTCTTTCTTCCTCGATACTGTAGTCATCCTCGGTGGCGGTGGGAGCAGTCGGGGATAGGCCTGTATCGAGAGGTAAAACACTGTTATTGCGGGGTACTTAGCAGTATCGGCGCGGTGTGGTGATACACGGCGAATAAACGGGATCTGAAGGCCATGGCGGACAGCGCGGCGGAGGTGACAGGTGGAATGGGCTTGACTGCCGGAGCCAGCCAGGGCAGCGGTACACAGCTACCGGCGTTGGGGAATTCTCTGTCAGCGGACTCGAGTGGAAACAGCCCGGCTTCGCCGTCCCCTGCTACGGCTGCTGAGACCGGCCTAGCCGTGATGGCTCCGGGCATTGGAGACATCCCTCTACCGACCATGGGGAGCGGCTTTGGTACCACCATAGGGGTTCTTGGTACCGCAGTGGGCACTGCCATCCTCGCGCCATCAAATGCGGCCCCCGCAGTTCATAATATAGGGCTGGGGGTGACTGGAAGCCCGAACCTGGCCGGGGCAGGTCTGCTGTCTCAGATACACTCTACTTTTTGGGATCCGACCCTAAGTACCGATTGGGATAACGAGAAGCCGTCTCAGCAATGCATTCTCCGGATAAAGAGGTATCGTAAACATCCACGTAAATACCGTGCTGGCTCTTTATGTTTGTCGCTCATGATTCCGTAAGACACCATTTTCCTACGTCTTTTCATAATAGTTATAAAAGCTATAAAATCATTCCTATTCATGCTGTGACAATTTACGGCTATGTTAAGAAATTTTGGTGCCAGTTAAAACAAAAAGCACATCTATTAGTTAACTGTGTGTTATGCCATTTTATTTTCTAAAATACCGGAAATCTAATCGGACTATACGTGTAATGTGTTAGATTAATTTAAAATGCAACCTTTAACGTTTTTCTTACAAACTGATGTTTTTTTTAGTTGGGCTGTTAAAAGGCCTTCAGCCATTGACAGTTATTTGACTTTGGAAGTCAAACTACCCGAAATGACAAAGGTAATGAACAGGGGCGTAGTTAGAGATGAATAGGCAGGGGGACTGAGTTTGCTGATGGCAAACTATTCATGACTTAAGCCAATAAATACACGTTATTTGGGTAGCCCCCATAAAATAGGCCAAAGGACGCCCCTGATAATGAGTTTTTGGTCATTTGTTTTTCCCTTAACATATATACATGTCTGTCCTACCCGGATGATAAATTTATTTATTTTTTAAATATTTATTTATTTATTTATTTATTTATTTTATAGGGATATTATGTCCATTTACAAGGAACCTCCTCCAGGCATGTTCGTGGTTCCAGATCCTCATGACATGACAAAGGTAAAGATCAGCAGTACTCTGAGACTGTATACTGATTTGAAGACTGTCTAGCTGCCGAACTGCTGGGTCGGACTACACTGGCAAAACTCTTGGTTTGTTGCTGCTGTTATAGTTTCATGCTTTTAGGTCTGTGTTAAGTTGTATGTCCTTTTTCACCAGATCCATGCCCTGATCACTGGACCTTTCGACACTCCCTATGAAGGGGGCTTCTTCCTCTTCCTGTTTCGCTGTCCCCCAGATTATCCAATACATCCACCTCGGGTGAAACTCATCACCACAGGCAACAACACTGTGCGCTTCAACCCAAATTTCTACCGCAATGGGAAAGTGTGCCTCAGTATCCTCGGGTAAATAACCGTACCTGCTTCCTTGAGTGTATTTTCACATAGTGTAAAATGTCACTGTGTTTTGATATAGAAGGAATATACCTTATTTAGTGAGAATTAAATAAACAGTTGGGAAATAAAAGTAGTTTGAGTTCAAGGTCATTAATGTTTGTTAAAAAAAAAGTACAAAAATATTCTTGGAATAATAATCAGGACAAAAAAACAATACATACCTGCAGCTCTGCTGCTCGAATCCCTAATAAGACTGTCAGTTGCTGAAGATTTTTCCAGTGAACACCTTTGTGATAGACACCTCTGTCACAGTTTGTGGAACTTGTCAATGATGACACAGGATCTCTTTATTAAAAATATTTCCTCTTGGCAATGCTAATGAATGGCAGTTTTTCATAACTGAAATCAAGCGTGGTTGAGTGAAAAGTTCTTCGGGGTGTCACCACTTGTCCTTTACTCAAGAACATCAAATGTCAAGGTGGAACCGTTTTACATTATTCCACTCAAAAGTCAATTACATAATATGCCAACATGTATCATTTTCTTCCCTTTACAAAAGCTTATAGCATCTTAACTGAAAAGCAGACTTTCATCATGAACTCTTGTCACACCTGCCTCACCACTGCATCCCATTTGGAGTTGCTGTAGACCTCTCATGTAGCAAACACTCACCCGAACACAAGAAGATCTGTGAAATGCATCAGGTTATATGTCCTGTTTAACCCAGTTTCTTTTTATACTATGATTTAATTTATATTATTAAAATGTCCCCTTCTCTGTTATGTTTATTTGCAGGACATGGACTGGTCCGGCATGGAGTCCAGCCCAGAGCATTTCCTCTGTTCTGATCTCCATCCAGTCCCTTATGACAGAGAACCCCTATCATAACGAGCCTGGCTTTGAACAGGTGTGCAACCAGGCTAAACTTCTTAATAACTATAAACATGTCTATCATACACAAAACTTCACATTGTGCCAAATGCCGACAGGTAATGCTACTGCACATTTTGGGGCTTTGCAAGTCCCTGAGCTAAAAAGGGCGAAGGCTCAGCTTGTAATAAGGTTTTAAAAGCCAAAGAAAACTTGCAAGTAGAGCTGCACGATATCCCACCACAATTATATGGCACAAACCCAGTAATCAGGTGGGTGAAACAGTCCGGACGCTGGTGTTTTTGTACTATACAGACACTTACCTACAGCCACAGTTTGGTAAGCAGATTAGAAGTACGTCTAATGAGATGTGTATTATGACGCCCAAAATTTAGTAATCTGTATAAATTCAGCACGTCCTTATGTTTGTTAAATTGGGTTAGCAGAGCCTGCCACAAATTACTGTTTTGGTAACAATATTTAGTAATATTAATCTGTTTGGTATAAAGCACTTATATGCCTATGAAGAAAGGGGCAGCTCAACAGCCACAGCATCTTTTAGAAGAGGAGGTATCATGGATAAGGTAAAAAGACATCAGTGGTGTCCCGCAGTTTAAAGTCTGACACGGTTATTAAAGATTGCTAACTTTTGAGCATCACAAAACACGCCATTAATATTTTAATATAGGCGTACTTCTAATCTGGTCACCAAATTGTGGGAATAAGTCTGTATAGTACAAAAACACCAGCATCCGGACTAATGTTTCACCCGTTGTATAAAGCCCTGGTGATTATTGCGCATTCGCCATATAATCTCAGTTACATCGCAATGTGAAATCATGCAGCCCTATTCGCAAGTTCTGAGCTCACATGTCTGTGTGACAGGAAAGACACCCCGGTGACAGTAAAAACTACAATGAATGCATCCGCCATGAGACGATGCGAGTGGCCGTGTGTGACATGCTCGACGGGAAGTGTCCCTGTCCCGAGGCCCTCTGGTAAGTTTTCTCTTACCCATATTTTAAAAAACAAAGCAGCAAAAGAATGCAGAAGAATGGCAGGCTTTCTGAAAATTATGCCGTTGAAGGGTTTATTGCCTCTAACACACCTTCCATCACATCTCTAAGTAGTCTTGTACTAATAATTCTCTTTGCCTGAATGCTTGTCTATGAAAGTTCTCTTACATCTGTTAATATAATTAGGCCCTTGCTAATGTTAACTGTGTAAAAATGGTTAGATTTATAAAGTTAAATAACAGTACTTAATCCCCTTAGGGAAAATTGGTAGTTTTTGTATATTACCTCTTATTCATCATGAGAGAAACAGACACATTAATGTACAGGTCAGGCAATTTTTGGGTTCAGAGCACTGGTGTCAACCAATGTGCAGTGTCTCTGGATGCTGAGTAACATCAGGGTGATATTACTCTGCTGGCCACAGGATGTAAACCCCTGATGTTCCAGGCCTTGCCTTCAGAATAGCACTTCACTTTGGATAAGTCTCTGCTAAATTAAATAATGTAATGTAGCGTTTTCTACCTTCACCTGTTTGCAGATTCAGTGAATACAAACATATATTTCCCTCCATTTTCTGCATACAAAGACGTTCATGCACGTGTATAATAACTTTGCAGTCATTTATGAGGACGTTATTGCCGGCTGTTTGCTGTCACCCATTTTTCTTGACCATAAACCTCCAAACCAGTTTAGAGGTTTGTGGTGGTACTTGTGCTTGCCTTTTGAAATATATGTGTTACTTTTGTTATAGGAGTGTAATGGAAAAGTCCTTCCTGGAGTACTATGACTTTTACGAAAGTGTGTGCAAAGAGCGCCTACATCTGCAGGGACAGACCATGCAGGTAATACAGCTACAGTTTTAGGTTTACAGTAAGTCAGTATAACGTTGAGGGCTAAAATGCGTTAATAATAAGGATAGCAACTGGCAAGTTAGGTTACAGAGTAAATAAAGACTTCATCCTACTGACATTAAAAGATTAGAAAAATACTGTGCAAACAATTTACTGTTTACTGTTATTCATTGGTTCCAGGAAATGCAGCTAAAGACTGAAAAATTGTAAGACTACTACTAATAATAATAATAATAATAATATAAAAATAGTAAATTACTAACCAGCCTGAATTCGTGTTTATGTGTGAGAGAGTATTTGGGAATTGCAAAATGAGACATTTATATTTAATCAAACATGTGAATCATTAAACGGAAGTTATGAAGGTAAAGTCTTTTACTCTGAACTCAAAATGTTGAAATTAGTTTTTCTGGGTACTCCTAATCTCAGTAGTTAGTAGAAGCACTTTATCTTGGTACTGTTATTTGTGGTTTGTATTATTATTTGTTTTTACTTCAGCCTGCTATCGCAATATCTTTAGGTCCCTATTTAAAACTTTGCTCATACTATTCTCACATTTTGGCAACAAAATACTCCATGCGACAATGCAATAAAAACGGATTAACTTATTAACCTTACACACTGATGCGTTAAATTTCACCGCCCTAATATAAATAAATTCAATGTGTATTCATGTTTAAAATAAAATATGGTTTTGCTTATTTATTTATTTATTTATTGTAGGACCCATTTGGAGAAAAGCGGGGCCATTTCGACTACCAAAGCCTGCTGGTGAGACTCCAAGCCATCCAGCACCGGGTGCGTGAGAAATGCCAGATGGAGGACAATGATGCCGATACGGACTCTGACACCAGTTCCTCTGGCACAGATCCGGATAGCCAGGGCAGCTCCAAGCTGTAACATTGGGCTCACATATGAACCAACCCCAACTCCTGCGGAGCACTTGATACTCAACTTTGCTGTGGATCTTGGAGATGTATTTTTCTTCGTTCATGGAAACTTTAACATAAACAAAGCAAGGGTTCTGTGGGTCCTGGCAGGGTTGTGGACGAAGATTCATTTTATGAGCTGGACAAGTTTAGGTAATAATAAAAGGACAGTTCCTGTACACCAACAGGCAATGGATTCTGACTGGCAATAGACAGGAGGCTCATCTATATCTTTGTACTATTTGGTTGTCGTCATTCAGCACCTGCTCTGTCGTTCTCACACCAATGATATCTGATGCTTCCAGAAGGAGGTTTCTAAGGACACAGTGATGGCAAGAACGTGAAGGGGGGCTGGACATGCATCCTGCTCATCATGATTACTTGTGATGGATTTCAGACCAGAGGATTAATACAGTAACTTAATATGGTAGACCTTTCTGCATCTGCTAGATTGTCTAAGATGTACTACCACTATTAGGAACTGGGAATTGATAGCATTTTTGAAGGAGCAGTCATGTTCCATAGAGTATGATAAGTCTTACATGGAAGAGTTTTAAAGTGAGACAAGCACACACCCAGTCCTGTGTATTGCAATTCTAGCGCGTGTGTGAGAGAGTGGATTTTTCTTTAAGAGTTAATAGTTTGGAATCAATTTTTGGATCATGAGAAGGATTATAATTCGAATGGCAAAACCATGCTCATAAATACCTATATTTAAAATTCTGAAAGATTAAAGATGGCGTAAAAGGTTAGAAATCACATTTGTAATAATTAGATACCTGGATAAAATTTACTGGAAAGAAAAGGCTTCACTGATATACAGATTATCAGATTGTGGATGTGGCTCAGATACCACCCTGTGTTTTGATAGTTTGCAGTGTTGGTTGTACCAGCTTCTCTAATGTAAATACTTGGAGGAGTTTTGTAAAAAAAAAAAAGTTACTAAACATGAATCCTAACCACCCATTATATGTATAAGAAGAAACCTTGTAATGGGGAAATATTTTGATTGAAAACAATGACTGCCCTTGGTTTAGCAAGCTGAATTGCAGCTATGCATAGGATGAAGCCGTATGACTGGTTTCTGAAAATTATTCTAGGCAGCACAGTTGTATATAGACTACTTCTTTAGAATGGTTGTATCTGCAACCTGTCAAAATGTGATCATTCAGTTCTTCATGTCTCAGGGGACACTGTGAATGGTCTTTTTGTGCATGGAGATATTTAGTTTGATTTTCTTTATCATTTTCAATGTACAAATTGTCTTTTGGAGTTTTGCATCCTCTGAAACTTTAAATGTCATCTGCTCCCAAACAAGGCTATTACTCCCTTCAGTATTGCGGGTGGTAGATATTGCATTTTAAGCTCCGCAATGCTGGTATTTTAATCTTCAAGCTATCACAACATAAATTCAGTCCAATAATGTCAAATAAAAATAGGCTGTCCTGCTATTTTTGTCTTTTAAATAAGCACCAGATTTAGACTTTTGGGCTAATACAAATTTAAAACTAAAAATACGATATTAAACAATAATTGGGATTTATTCGTGTTGAAATTCACAAAGAATATGAATTGACGAAAAAAAAATATTTCGTCTGTATGACTTCAGGTCGATATATTTGGTCTTCAAATAATGCTGTTTCGGCATGTGTTAATAATTATTTGGTTAGATAAAGCAGAAATTAACCAGAATGGTCAGTTTGTATTTGATTCTTCATCTTTCCAATAACAGATGCCCAGATGCCAGCATGCTTTGCACCAATGATGACACAAGTTTAGTTCTGCTTCAGAGTATTTTCATAAAATAAAGGGGCTGGTGTACTTTAATTAATGGATTATGAAACTTTAGACCAACGTATATGACTGCAGCAATGAACTGGACTGTTATAACAAACTTTAACTGACACCTCTCATTAAAGTGCCTATTTTGGAATTTACTGATGCAAATGGAAGCCTTTAAAGAAGGTTGTTTGTTTTTGTGTCTTGATCCTCATCTTATATGTTTTCTTGCCCTTTATTCATATGACAGCAGAGGGTGGTACTATAAGGTAATGAACTAGCAAATTGCGATTATTCATGTCAAACAGTAGATGGTTAACATAGCGCAGAATGCAGTTATGCCAAAATGGGATTTGGCAGTTATGTCAGAACTCTGGAAAAACTGGGCAGTGCTGTCACATCATCCAAGTGCTGTGAGGAATCTAAAAATTCACTGGACTTGTCCAAGTTTATAAATGTGAATTACTCAAAACCAGGTTATTGGTGGTGAAGAGAAAATATTAAAGGAGCCAAATATGCATTGAAAAGTGAGTAAATCCGCGACTGTCTGGCTTTTACTTGCTGTGCTTTCTGCTTCCACCTTGCCTCAGTTTAAATTCATAGCATATTAATAAGTTATATAATATATACGTGTGTGGCATAGGGGCTCAGTGGGTGGCACTGTAGTCTCTCATCTCCAGGTTTAGGGATTTGCGCATGGTCTGTTATAGACTGCCATGTGATGCCTTGTGCCTTATGGTTGCTGTGGTCAGCTCCAAATTCACACCAACCCTGTAGAGAAGTAGTTATGGAAAATGGATGGGTTATTATAGAGTGCATTTGTTTTTTGATTCTGCACTCTGAACGTCTCTGTAGCAGTACCATTGTGACAATGATACACAAGTAGGTCAGATTGATAACTGTTTATGGTTATATTATGCACAGCAAGATTCCACTTTTAATCTTTTTGTGTGGCAGTGGTATATAGTTAAACCATTTAAACTTTTATGCAATATTTTTATAAATAAAAAATTTTAAGGTAATGTTTAAAAATGGGAGAACTGGCTTAGATAAATATATGACATGTTCTTGTCTTGGGGCATATAATGGTTCTGTAGTGCAATTGAATATGTATAACTTGTGGCAGTAGTAAATAATAATTATTATTTATTGTACACATAATACATTGTGACACCATGGGTACACACAGACCCAACATGTGGTCTCTCCCCCCCCCCAAATCAGGAAGACACAATCACCAAATTCCTGTGGCAGCTGTTGCTAACGTTCCTGTGGAGTCCTCAGTAGATCAGTGCCAAACTCCATGTGATTGTCCACTACTTCTAATCTGCTGCTGCTCTATGCCTAGGCCTGGACAGGAATCTGGTAGCCTGCCCCTTGTCACGTAACAAATTTCAAACAGCATGGTAAATACCGACCAAATGCATAAGTGGTATATTATACAACAGTATGTAATGCAATGCGGTGGCTGGATATATGTAGGTCACCTGACAGCTTGGGAAAAGGAAGTCTCTGAAACGGGTCGTGCGGTTGATGCACCGGCAGTGCTTTCCAGAGGGCAGGAGTGTGAAGAGGGCGTGACCTGGGTGGCTGGCAGGCATCCATGAAGTTAATCTCTTCAGCGGGAAAGGGGGATTGTTCAAACATAACTTTTCATTAGGAAAATCATTTCCCACCATGCACTACACCTTCGCAGCAAAAAGCAAAACGAACAATTTCGGACGCGCGATCACATGACGTTTTCGGCAGCTTTTTAAAATTCCGTCGCACAATTGACGTCATCATTCTAAGCGGTATATCCCCTCCCCATCATTGAAAGAAAATTGTTTTGAGAGAATTACCGAAGAGCACGTGGGATCTGACGTTGTGGGGGCGCTAGTTTTACTTTGGTAGATACTTGAAACTCTGAAGGAGCCGTGTTTTTGTAAACCCTGTAAAACGCAGATTTTCAATGAAAAGGTCTAACGAAATCGACTCTTAACATCGTCAACCGCAATGTACTAGCAACTAGCCAAATCAACTGCTTTTCTCTATTCACTGATGTGTGTGCTTTCACTCCTTGAAGGATTTTACTGTATTGGGATACTTTGCCCATTGTTATTTGTACCTTTATTATTCATATTATTAATTATTATTATTATTATTATTATTGGGATTCCCTGGATGGGAGGCCAGCTCTTCAGTGACAAACGTTTATAATACCCAGTTTAGTGACGTCTGCTGGAAGAAATCTGTACAAACAGATGGAAATGTGCAAACCCCTTTTCCCTACACTTTTTGTGACTTTGAACTAGTCATAGCGAGTATGTGTCCCCTACCCAAATAGCATGCCATCCAGGGTGCTCCCAGTCCTGTGCCCCTGGGGATAGACCCCGTGCAGAACTGCACAGGATGAGCAGTTATGGAAAACAGGTGGAGGGATGAAAGCAAAATTACCAGTAATATTTTGCATCCATCTTGCATAAGCACAACACATGGTCAGAGTGAAGCTAAAGCTTATCCCAGGAAGCACAGGGCACTATTGGCAACTTAGAGACACAGATCCATCTCAACCTCATGCATGATTTTGGTTGCAAAAACAGGAAGAACATGGAAGCAGGGTAAGTCAACAGCCCACAGGCCAGGAGGTGTGAGCCCACCACAGTAACCATACATACATAACTATGTCTGTACAGGCTTTCAGATACCACTGGTTATCTGTGAATATTAGCTTTTTTCAAAACATGTAGTGCTGTTTGCTTTAATGCAGATCGATATTCTCCAACATATTAATAGGGTGTAAAGTCACGTGTCCCGTACAGCAGATGGGGGTTTATGTTTTAATGCATTAGCTGATGCCCTCCTTTCTCACCTGACACAGATTAAGGATATTTTCACCCTGGCCACTGAGAAGATGAAGGTACCTTCAAAGAATTCAGGTGTGAAAAAGATGAGTTCATGGGGCAGGTGGACATCAGCTATGCAGAAAAAACAGCTGTGATATTTCATGCAGTGATCAGGGAACTAAGCAGCTTCGTCCCATAACTGAGACTGTTGTCTTAATCAATCAATAGGAGGATATGTAAACTACAAGCATTAGACTTGTGACTCGTTCTCCTTCCTATTCCTTTTAGGTTTCTCTCCGTTTCTATTTCTCTTTGTTCCTCTTGTCTTTATAATCTAATCCTTGCATCTTCTGAATTCTTGAGGAAATACATAATTTATAAATGTAAAGTAATTGTTTTAAAGCTTTTTCCTATTATAATAAATCGAGTTTGCTATTTGTATACCTCACACTGCAGCTCAGAATGCTTCCTCCATTAACATGTTTATTGAACAAAGGGAGAGAGAGAAGGTTAAAATGTTATACAAACATGAAATGTTGTACAAAAACATGAAAATTGAAATTGAGTACAAAATGTTTGCTATCAACTTTAATCTGCAGCTAAAATAAAAACTAAATTAATTTTTAAAATGATATAACATTCACCATGTTTTGTTCTATTAATTAGAAATATATATATACAATATGAAAAAAACACGTGTGTGTGTGTATGTATATTATATATATATCTCATTCAGGTTACATTGAAAATCTTTTCACACGCAGAAAATAACCTTTTTTCCCATTTGAACTTCCTTCCAATTTGCTAAAACAGAACATTTCAAGGGACCATCTGATTGGCCTCCTCAGGTGTGACATCTTGCGAGGACAGCTCAGAGAAGAGGGCAGGAAGCCAATACTGAGATTCCCCTGAAGCTTGGGTGTCCAGCCAGGCCAGACCTTCTTTCAGCAGGTGGTCCTAAAAAGGAGGTCAACGCGGCAAACCGGGCTTCAGCGTCGACCAGATACTGAAAGATGTTTTAAAATTTGTACATCCTTACAAAAAATAACCTGAAAATAAACCATCACCAGGCTACTATGTTTCTCTTCCATCTTCTATATTGCATCCAAGAAGATTACAGCGCTAACACTCCGTAAATACTGTAACAGTAGACAGGCAAATTCATTGTACAGCCTGTAAGCCATGTTTATAAAAATGACTTTGGCTCTAGCCTATTCCATTCATCAGTCTAAGTCCCCACTTACCAGAACATGGCCAGCCCGCTCCGTTTCCCACTTCAGGCTTTCCTTGATCTCACTCACTGTTACATAGCCCTTCTTCTGTTGAAGAAAAAGAATGAAATTAATCTACTGCACTTGTTCTTCAGAGTTTCGACTTCCCTTGCTTTAGAAAATGAAATGGGGTTCACTTGGCACTCCAACAGTTAATTCTTGTTTGCAGGGTTTAAAGAGCTTTAAGGAAGTAGGTCTTTCTTTAACTACCAAATTCACTTTTAGCTAGGAGTATTTATAAAATGCTAAACACTGGAGAACTCTACTCTTATTCTGCGATCCGGCTTACCTCAGCCAGCTGCAAGACCACAGTATGATCCATGTTCAGTTCCGCTGGAACTGACTGTACGAGGTAAGATCCTCCCACGGGGATCATCCCAAACCCATTGCCCATGGCCTTTAGCTTCTTGATGGCTCGTACCAGGTCATCCCTGTGAGACAATCACTTACTCTGTCTGCCTTATCAATACTCATTTTCATGACACTGTGCCACACTTTTGCGTAAAAAGTGTAACAAGGTAGCTAGTAAACACTACTCACTGGCTGACATCCTGAGCAAACTTCCCTCTTCCCTTAAGTACTCGTTGATGGAGTTCATCCAAAGTAATGAGTCCTGAAACAGGAACAGAAAAATTAAATAACACAACATTAAGTTAAACAGTTCAAGACAAAGTTATTCTTAAAGACGCCTGAGACTGCACATTCAGTTATAGTAATGGCTAATCAAATCAGATTAGTTTATTATACCATAAGGGAAAGCCTATCCTGTATAGGAAGGCAATCCATTGCAGGGTGTTCACAAGTGGTCATGTGCTCACTCACCATGCTGGTGATCTATCATGCTATGCTACATTATAGAGAACAGGTAATTCAAGAAAATGCATTCATCAATAAGACTTAAATTAAAAATGCGTACAAGGCATTTCAATAGTAGTTAAAGCCTCCCACTGATGTCACATTGTCTGAGATGATGTTACAATGGGCTCTCCGTAATTTTGTGGTCATAGCAGCAAAAGCTAGGTCTGTCATCATTCCATTGGATGATGTATTACCCCAGAAAAAATAGCGATAAACTATATTATTGTCATTTTTTAATCATTTTAAGCCACTGATAATGATGATAGTATAATAATGCAAGTATAGCCTTTCAAAGAGCAATGAACTTTTAATTCTTAAGAATATTCAGACATTGTAATTTCAAAAGGATTGGTGTGTGACTGCGCCCTGCAATGGGCTGATGCCCCATCCTGGGTTGTTCCCTGCCTTGCGGCCGTGGCCTCTTGTATAGGCTATGGACCCCCTTCTACCCTGAATAGGATAAGAAGTTGCAGAAAATGGATGGATGTAATGTCAAAAAAATTTAAATATCCTATATAAATTAAACATTAAAAAAATAGATAAAATGGACTGACGTTCTGTTAACAAAAACTGCATTATTCATTAAACATTTGGCACAGGAATCTATATAGTCATTCATTCCTTTACGGACAATATACGGCCAGCCCAGATTTACTGAGTGACCTCGATCGTTTATTGACCAGGGGAAAAGTAACAGGAAGTCAGAAAGCAATCGGACCAAAGATTGTATATAAAAACCTTTTTCTACCCTCTATGCTCTGAATGATAACCAGAATGGATAGCAGATTTGAAGAACGGTTGAATGACATAGTCCGGAAATACCAGCATCTATGATTCATCGCTACAGGATTATAAAGACTCCCAGATGGCTACAAACTTAAACAAAATACGTTTATACTGCAACACCATATACCTCTGTATGTCTTAGTACAGTATACCGTAGTTTTTATATTTTTTAATTTTAATTTCTAGTTTATTTTTAGGTATGTTTCATTCATTTTTATTTTTAAATGTAAATTGTTATACGTTTTACCTTACGCTTTATTAATATTATTTCTTGGGGTAGACAGAAAGTTATGAGACTTTTCTGGCTACTACAAAACGTTGCGATTTGGTGCCGTTTGCTATTTCTACGGTTCAAGGTCTTTGCACAAGAGGGCCAAAGATACAAAATTTCATTTTACCAAACTAGCATTTAAAAATAGTAACAATAAGTACGGTACATTAGTTTTTATTTTACCTCAGTTTCAGGACCAATATTTATAGATGTTGTTTAGTTTTATAGTTTTATTTTATGTTTTCATTAATGATTATAATCCTGCCTTGTGTACTGCAAGTACCGACGTTTTAGTAAAATTCTTATTTATTCTTCATAAATCTGACTTCAGAGTACCTTTCCCTGGTACACTGGCACTGGAATTATGAACATTGAGGATTGTGGAAGGTCCAGCACTGCGACGCACGCATGTGCCATGGCAGGCACATATTCACGTGAACTATGAATCAGCTCTGAGCCACATTTACGCCGCAGAGGGCACACGAGAGGGCAGCAGCAGTGTCACAGGCTAAAATGTGGGGGGCATTCATTGTTATGTAAACACAATTTGCCAATATTGAGGTCAGACAAAAATGATCAAAGTTATGTCCAT